GAGAAAGAGTTTTGCTCTGTTCACTTGCTTAGATCCTCACTAAATTGCTGAGTCTGGCCTCCAATTTGTAATCCTCTTGTCTCAGCCTCCTGAACTGCTGTTTTTATATGTGTGCTCCTCTGTGATCAGCTTTTTCTTTTTTTAATGTTGAAAGTGTATGAATGCACTGATCTTTAGTTTCCAGTTACACAGTTTACATGTGTATATACCTGAGGAAGCACCTCAGATTAAGATATGAAGCCTTCCCTCACCCCAGGAGGCACCCTGCTGTCTCTTCTTGTCTTACCTACCTCCTCAGCTTACCACAGAACTCCTCATATGACTTCTGTCATCAAAGATTCTGTCTGTCTATTCTTTAACTTTATATATTTGAAATCCTACAGCGTCTGGCATTTTATGTCTGGTTTCCTTCTATCTCTTCCACATTTTTAAGATTCCTTTAAAAAAAAAACAACTTGATTTAAACTTGATTTTATTCACCTTTCTTTAATGTGGTGCTGAAGGTAGGACCCAGTGCCTTGCACATGCTAGGTAAGCTCTCTACCTCTGAGCAACAACTCCAGCTCCCCACAGATTTAAAATTTCTTGTATGCACCTCCATACCCTCTCTGTGTCTTCCTTCTGGGAACTGCCCTTTCTCTCTGCCACATTCTAGCCACAAGGGGGAATCAGAGGCTGAGGAAACCTGGTAAGACTGCCTGGGTGGCTTTTCCATTGGCCAAAGAGTGATCTGGCATCCATGGAGCACCCTCTTGTTGGGTGTTTGTCTTTCCTTCCTCTCTGGGAAGAGTTTCCAAATGGTTCTGGACATGCCTTCATTTTTTTTTTTAATATTCTTTAGTTGTCAATGAACTTTATTTTATTTATTTACACAGAGTGCTGAGAATTGAACCAGGTGCCTCACACATGCTAGGCAAGCACTCTACCACTGAGCCACAACCCAGCCCCACATGCCCTCATTTAAAAGTTATGTATTTTGAAAATGCAGCTAAAATATGTACATATTATACAGCTTATAAAAACAAATAGATGTAAGGGTAAAATTCTCATGATAGAAGTTCTGATGTACTCATTTCCTTCCCTTTTGCCCCCAGGTCCCTGGAGCACCCCAAGTACTGGTGACCCCAACTCTTTTAGATTTAGGCTGTGCCGTGGGGCAGACCTGCTCCTTTCAGTGTTTGTCCACATGACCCTATGGCCTTGTATAGCTTCCACAGTTTGTAGAGGCTCCATCCCTCAGCTCTAGAATGAGGATAGTGAGAACCACCTCATGGTATTGTATAAATCATCATGGGAATGAGGTATAAAATGTTCAAGGTAAAATGACCCTCAGTGAATGGTGTGCCTAAGTATTTCTTGATGGTTATTAGAGAGCAGAGGCCCTTGCTGTGCTTGAGGGGAGGAATCTCTGAGACAGGAGAGAAACAGGGTGTGCAGCATCCTAGGGGATGTTAGAATGTGCCTCTTGGAGCTGGACAGGGCCTCTCCTGCCCTGGGCCCCCCTCTACTTCTCTGAGGGGCAGAGGTCAACTGCCCCTTTGAGACTTCTAGGCCTTTTCTTTGACCCAGTTCTGAAATCTCTCCACTGGGACTCACCTGTTTCACCCTTGTCCATACATGGGCCTCACCTACCTGGGATTGGGGGTGTCAATAAATTCTTCCTGGGTCACTGATGGGTCCCACATATGGTCAGTGCCTGTGCTGGCTCTCTGCAAGTGATCTGACATTGCAGTAACTGGGGAATATGTTTCAGATACTCTGGGCCAATGTGCCCATTCTGGTGTCTCATCTCCTAATAGGTCAGACCAAATGCCAGGCACTTCCAGCCTCCCTTTGCTTAAAAAATATTTTTAGTTGTAGATGGACAAAATACCTTTATTTTATTTACTTTTATGTGGTGCAGAGGATCAAACCCAGTGCCTCTCATGTGCTGGGCAACAGCTCCACCACTGAGCCACACCCCCAGCCCTGCTCCTTCCTTTTTATGGCAGCTTTCTCTCAGTCTGCTGTCTTTCCTTTTAAAATTTTAGTTATTGTTTGCTTTTCATTAGTCTAATACATTTCAGTTAACTTTCTATAAGCATGTATATATTTTTTCCCTCTGGTCTCACTCCCTTACTCTTTTCAATCTCAGGGCTTGAGTGGGAGTGATATTTTACCCCCCCTGGAATCTCAGATGAGGGAGGGGGTGGATACTCATACAGAGGGTGGTGGGGCAGGTGATCCAGCCAGGAGGGCTCAGCTGCTGAATTCAGGATGGGGCTGGGCCGGGCCCTGGCTCCACTAAGAGAGAGTGGCATAAGGAGGTCTGTCAGACACTTCTGGTTGGATATTTGAGGATGTGTTCAGTCCACAGTATGAACAGAATTAGGGGTCTGAGGGATTAACTACTTTATATCAACCATCACATTTTAAATATATTAATGCATTTCATACATTTTACATTAACCATTTTTTTGTGGTTTAGGCATTTATCCAAAGCTATTTAGAAAACACTTAATATAGGAAAAAGAAGAGGTATTTATTACATGTTTGTCATAAAAGAAAGTTAATATTAACCTCATTAGTATCAGAATCATTTAAGATTACACAAGAAAAATTATTTGTGGTTTACTGAATAGTGTTTCTTGTCAAAGCAGCTGAATGGTGATCCTGATAAGCTGGGAGAGGACAGTGCTGATGTTCGGTGTCCCCTGCCAGTGCTGGTCAAGGATTCTGCCAGTGTTCTTTAAGGAGACCTGACCTGCACTTTGTCACTGCTTCTACCCCCTCCTCCCCAAATGGAAGGCAAAGGGCAACCTTGGGAGGGAGAATGCTCAGGTCAGGGTGAGATAAACTTTCTGGCCCTGTAATTGAGGCAATTGAGAGTCCAAGGTCCCTTTCAGAATCTTGTTCACTTGAGTTACCTGGGGCAGGGAGCTGGGCTGGGCTGGAGATGTGATGGTGGGAGGCAGTCTCCTGGCACATATAGCCTCTCTCACCCTCCTCTAGGAAGTTATTACCTTGATGGCACGGTACATGGCTTTACCTCTGCAACTAGAATAATGAAAGGGCATAAGTAAAATTTATGTAGCACAGTTCTTGATACATAGAAGGGATTCAATATAATTTTGTTTTCTTCTTTTTGTAAGATTTCCCTTATGATTCTAGGCCTTGGGGAATCTACCCTCTGGGCACTGATTCATGGTGGCATTGTGGGGTGGTGATGGCATTTCACCTCTAAGTGCGGTTTTTATGCAGTGTTCCAGGAAAATTGTGGGCACCCTCTTTTTGCTGCTCTGCTCTGCTGCCTTCTTCCTGGTAAAGGGAGCAATGTCCAGAGGGCAGGGCACAATCTGCACAGGCTCCTTTTGCAAGTTTTCACTTTAGATATTGGAAGGAGCCAGAGAGGGATTGCTCCTCTGACTGGGAGGGATTAGTGGGGGCCCCAGTGTCAGAGACTCTGCAGAGATCACTGCAACTTATATCCAGCTCTGTTTTTCCCCATTTCCTGAGGACCAACTGCCTCTTGGAAGTAAGAAATTTGGGCCCACAGCATTGGAATCAGAAGCAGAGGATTGGGCTCTGAGAGCAGTTTGGGGCAGGTGCAAATTCTGAGGGCAGCTTTGGGGCCTTCTGGAGTCCTTGTGACTCCGATCTATCTCCAGCTGCTGTGTTTTGAATGCTTCAGGAAATCATAGCCTTTCATAAGTGGAAGAACAGAGAAGGAGGTAAGTTGGATTGATGACAGCTCTGACCTGAGAGGAGGAAACCAGGGAGAAGCTGGTGGCAGGAATAAGCTGAGGAGCAGGTGGTGGGAGAGGCAGTGGGGGTGGGTAGGTGGAAGAGTTTTGTTCTAGGAAGACTCGGGAGAAGCTTAATGAGGGTTGTTCCTTTATTCATTTGTTTTAATGGTATTTCTGTAACATTTTCTGGGACTAGGCCCTGTTCTAATTACATGCAGTGATTATAAATTCTCATCATTTTCAGTACAAACTTGAGATGTAGATGTTATAACTATGCCCATCATACAGATAAGGATACTGAGGCAAAGAAGTTTATTTTGAGAGTGCCTGGAGGGCAGCCTAGAAGACATCTCCCAGAGTTTATTTTTCCTTATACCACAGACTGCCTTCTCCCTGCTCCTTCCAAACAGTGGGTGATTTGGGGTCTTTTCTCTGACTAGGGCTCTTTTATCTCTATGCTCTGTCTCCATGAAGGGTCCCTTACTTCTCAGGCAGAGATCTTTCTCAAAGAAACAGAAGGCATGGATAAACCTGTTGGTGGGGAAGTGCTTGGAACCTGCCAAATGAAGTGCCATATCTGAGCCCACAGTGGAAAGGACTGGGCTGAGATTCAGGTTTAGGTGACTCCATATCTAAAAAGGCAAAATAAGGTTCAGGGCTCCTGTGATGGGACCACAGCCTCCTTGAGGTCCAGTCCCAACATGGGCATAATTATGGGGCAGAAGAAGAGGCAAGCAGGAGCTTGCATGTTCTTCATAATGGGGAACCTGGGTCTGGGCCCTCATTTCTGGGGGGGTCATAAGGTGGTGTGTGAATAACAGAGAGATATAGGAATGGCTTCCATCACAGAGCTCCAGGTATGGAAAGAGAAAGAGCCTGGTGTTCTGGGTCAAGTAGAGCTGTGGTTGGGGTGGGAAAGAAAGGAACAGTTTCTTACCAGGTAACTCTAATGGTTTCCTGATACCACAGTCTTCCCAGAAGAGCTGGAATGAGCCTAGCTCAGCTGTTTGTCAGTGTCAGTGTTGTGGGGGGCCCACCACCCTGTTAGTATGATGAACCAATAGGAAATGCTTTGCTCCAGCAGGGGACTGCTGTCCATCCCTGAACCCTGCTCTCTATGTTGAGGTGCTGGAGCTCTGGGCTGGACCTGCGTCCTGCCTGCAGGTCTTGGCTCTCATCCCCATCTCTCTCCCCAGCTCTAAAGATATGGAAGGGTGCTGCAGTCACTGCACGCTCTGTTGCCTCACTTCCCTGCTTCTCCTTGTCCAGCTGTCCATGGGTGAGTGTCCCCATCTGTCTTCCTTTGTGGTTTTTAAAAGCAAGATATAAAAACATTTGAAAACATATTTTCCCTCATTCTTTTGTTTTCTTGCCTTTTTTTGCTGTGTGCACAAGCATTATTTATTCATTTTATTCCTGAAATATTAATGAAATTTTGATTGCTAGATGCTATTGTATGAAAGAATCAGACAGAAACCGTGTCATAAAGTTTACTTTCTAGCAGAAGACAGTGATAATAATTGCACCTAGTCAGAGAGTCCTAAGTGTTTTGGAGGAGGTGACCATAATGGGAAATGAAGCAGGGCAGTGTTTGGGCAGTCAGGGGCATGGGAGGCAGGTGTGGGCAGGCAGCAGTGTTCAGTGAGGTGGTGTGTAGATGGGAACATAACCCTGGAGAAGGAGGAGTGAGCTGTAGGACCATTTGGAAGGAGGGTTCCTGCAGTGGGAGGAGCCCATGCAGAGCTGGCAGTGCACTGAGGTGTGAGGAAGCACAGAGGCCAGGGTTGCTGGACTAGAGCTCTTGGGGAGAGAAGCAGCAGCTGAGTTGGGAAGGAAGGTCCACCTTGTCAGGGCTGGAGAGAAGTGGGGAGCCCTGCTCCAGCTTTCCTGGCCTTCCCACCTGATAGTATGTGTTCTCTGTTTTTTGGTCCGTGTTTCTCTAGCTTTTTCCCCCATGTTGTGTTCACAGAGCTGTTCCAGGTTATTAGCCCTGATCGCCCCATTGTGGCAGTGCTGGGAGAGGATGCCATACTGCCCTGCACCCTAGTCCCAGGCATCAATGCAGAGAACATGGAACTGAGGTGGTTCCGCACCACATTCTCACAGGCAGTGTTCATCTACTGGAACCAACGGGAACATACTGAGGAGCAGATGGCTGAGTACACAGGGCGGACCTCACTGGTGAGCAAGTTCCTCACCCAGGGGCAGGCTGCTGTGCACATCCACAAGGTCCAGGTTTCTGACAATGGAATGTATACCTGCTTCTTCAGACATGGAGGCTTCTCTGAAGAGGCTGATTTGGAACTAAAGGTGGTAGGTTAGTTACTTGATGCCTATTCTGGAGACCTTGGGTTTGGTGGGAATATCAGGGATCATCCAATTTAGCTTCACATTTAATAGGTGAAATAGAGGAAAAAAAATGGCTCATTCATTTTTTTAATTGATCAATACAAATGCTGTATATGAGGTATCTAAAATATGGGAGGACTTGTTCTGTGCAGCAGAGATATATCAGTATAGCAGAGATCCCAGCAGTAAAGAATTTACCTTCTAGAGACAAAGGAAGAATAATTATAATAAATAATTCAGTACAACATTTGATAAGGTGATAAGTACTTAAGACAAAAGGCCAAGTAGAATTAAAAAGGGGGCATAGGATGTGGGCTGGGAATTTAGGACAAGCTGTAGTGTTACATAGAGGCCAGGGCAGATCCTTATTGACAGTCTGAGCAAGGTGCAAAGGAAGTAGGTATTTAGCCTGGTGGATATCTGGGGGGCCAGAGTTTATTGCAGAGGGAGCACCTCTTATGAAACCTTTGAGTTACGAGTATGCTTGATTATTCGAGGTATAATGAGACCATCATGGTTGGCAGGAGGAGTGGTGGGGAGAATGGTAAGAAGTGGCAATACTGGAATAAAGAGATGGTCCTGTCTTAACACCAGTCACAGGTGCAAGGATGAGGTCATTAGGAGTGGACACCTGGGCTGGAACAAGAGCCCTGGATGTTGATGGGCTGGAAGGTGAAAAGCCAGAGGGCACACAACATGGGATTGTGGCTACTTGCATTTAACCAGGTAGTTCTTGGGGTTGAGTATGAGGACCCTGAGGGTCTCAGATGGTGGATTTGGGGAGAAGTGTTGGAGAGGAAGGCAGATAACAGAACAGTAAAGGCATAGTGTGCTGTGTTATGGAGTTTGGATGCAGAGTAGGGGGAATCCTAAACAGAGCCATGCTGGGAATGCTCATGTGTGCATTTGTGAATTGGAGGATGGTAGGTGAGCAAGAGGGGGGCATGGAGTGCAATTATGATGTGGAGAGAATGAGTGCCTGTCCTGAGGCATGGCAGTGGGTTGGGAGAGGAGAGTTCTGAAAGATTAAACAGAGTATATTTGTGAGCACAAAATTTGGAGGGGGAAGAGAAGACTTGAGAGACTTCCAGAATTTTATTTAAAGCATTTGTTGTTTCATGGCAGGACAATTGATAATTATTTGTCACTTCTACTGCTGTAATAATGCTGTGTAACAAACAGCCACAATCTCAGTTGTATTTGGCAATAAAATGTATTTAATATAGGCACTGAGGGAATTCAACTAATTGGGGCTTAACTTGGCTAATAATAACCTGGGTTTACTTTTGCATAATTGGTTATGTTTCAGAAATATAATTAAAAACAAAATCTCCCATACTAGGAGAAAATACTTTTAATACTGAATAAGCATCAAACCAGAATGATACATATCATTCATGATCTCGTAAGGAATTACACAACCAGAAAGAAATTTCATCTTTCTTTTTATAGCCAAGCATATATAATCTCCTGAATACTTGTTTTTAAGATGAACAATAAGTAATTCTCTACTAAGAAGGCTCAAAGCAATTTGTTCCGAATATGTCATTCTAAATTTACCTGATACTTTGGGAGACCATCTGTGTCATATAAGAGGCTTTATCTGGAAGAATAAACTCCTCCAGCTTTATGACAGGAGGTGGTTTTACAACTTGGAACAAGATGCCCACATAAGTTTGACTCCTATCTTTATAAAGAAAAGGGGGGAAAGGGTTGGTATCTTCCCTGATGTTTACATTTCAAAGAAATTGTTCCCAGGTCCTTGAGAAAGACATTCCTGAGCTACAAAGCTGGCAAAATACTAGCCAGTTTTCAAAATCATGTATAAATATTTCAAAAGAGGAGAAAGTGCCCTTGTGTAATTGCAGTTTCTCAAAGCAAATGCTAGAAGAAAAATAGAAGAATCTTCTTTTATTCAAGAGGGAGGATTAAGATTTTCACTTTTAATATTCATTTGTTCTTAAGTCAGCTGAAACGTTCACCAGGTGCACCTTGGTTGAGTGTGCTCACGTTTCAGGTGGTCATTTGACTGAACTAGGGCAGCTGAAGCAGGTGGACCAGGCAATGTCACATGAGTCCATCCTCCACTGGGTAGCTCAGGATTGTCCTCCTGTGGAAATGGCAGAGGGTAAAACCAAGGTTCAAGATCTTTTCAAACCTCTGCAGTCACATTAGCTAACTTTTCATTGCAAATTTGAATCCCATGAATGGGTCCAGAGGCACAAGGTTAAGGCAGTAAAAAGTCTGTGGAAATGGTAGAACTGGCTATAAATAAGGGTGAAGAAATGGGATATTTTAATAATCATTTTAACACAAGTGGTCCAAATTATGAAGTCAGTTTTGGAGTTTTGAGTTTGAAATGTTTGTGAGGAAACCTGGTAAAGATAACTCTGGAACATGTAGGGGAAGAGAATTAAGGAAACTAGGTAGTCATGCAAAACAATTTTGGAAGTGATATACACAGAGGGGTAGATGTCCCAGGAAAGTATGTGAGGTGGGAAGACTGAGATTCATGGAGGGAGCCTTGGGACCAAATTCTTCCTGTTGCCTCTAGTCTGACAGATAGAGAGAAGAGCCCTCTGCCCTGTGTGGGTCCCTTTGCTCCTTCCTTTTATTCCCTCTGGTAGGTGACCCTTCTGATAGAACCCCCAGAATTCAACATGGAAAACCTTACCCCTGAAGTTATGTAATATCTAGGCAACTCTGGGGTCTCAGGGCCCAAGGTGGCCTCCTGGGGCTCCATAGCTTCCTTCCCACAGGGATGGGCTCTGCCCCCCAAGTGCACATAGAAGGGCCAGAAGAGGATGGAGTGCGCGTGGTGTGCAAAGCCTCAGGATGGTTCCCAAAGCCCCAGGTGCAGTGGAGAGACCTCAGTGGAAACAAGTTCCCAGCRCTTTCTGAGGCCCACACCCAAGACASTGAGGAGCTGTTTAGTGTGGAGGCCACTCTGGTGGTGAGAGACAGTTCTGTGGGGAATGTGACCTGCTCTGTCCTCAACCCTGTCCTGGRCCAGGAGAAGGCCATGGCTATTTACATCCCAGGTCAGTGCTGCTTCCTATTCCCAGCAGAGGTGTGGGGAGGGGCTGGCCTCTCTGAGTGTGCTGGCTCTCCTGGGTGTGCCCCTGACCTCTGTCTGCCTGGGCCACAGAGCCCTTCTTCCCTCAGGCTTCTCCCTGGAAGCCAGCATTTTCTGTGATCCTGACCATGCTGGGGCTCCTACTCTTGGGAGCCTGGTATTTTATCAGAAAAGCACATTCCAGAAGGAGGCAGGTGAGGCAGGAAAAGGAGCATCTGTGGTGGCTTAAGGAGGAGCAACAGCAACCAAAGGAAGAGGCACTGAAGGCCATTGGTAAGACTGCACATGCCAGATGCAGACCTGTTGGTGAGTGGGACAGCTGACAGGGGACAGAATCTGGGGTCCAGTTCTCTAGGGAGATCCAGGGTCCTGGGCCCAGAGAAGGTGACTTAGGAGATCATAGAGGACAGCTAGAGTCTGGTGGGGTTAGGTGGGTTTGTAGTTAGAAATTCTAGTAATCAGAAACATTTTTTCTGGGGTTTTTCAAGAACACAGTCTTTCCTTTTCATGGGGATGGGCTTTCACTCTGTTTTTTTCATTTTCTTTCAGATGAACTCCAGGAAGATCTCAGTAAGTTCTGCTTTCCTGCCTGCTTTTTGTATGTTTCTTTGTTAGCAGACGTTCTAGTTCCTAGCTTCCTAGATGTTCTAGTTCCTATTTCTTGTGTTGTTTTTCAGATCAGAGAAAAGCTGCTTATCTGTCTGGTAAGTGACTCTCCAGGTATCTCTTGTTTCCTTATTCTATCTGGTGTCCCTTCTCCTTCTTTCTATCTAGGCAGACATGTGGGTCCCTGTCCCTGGGAAGTTAATTGAGAGCTAGTGGAAGCCAGAACCCTGCTCCCTGAGCTTTCCTAGATCTTGGCTGCTACTTCCTACCTAGAGCTTGGAAACTTGGGTGTGATGGTGACCCCTGGTCTGTCATGTATTCTGCATCTATTTCAACCTTGGCTTGCCCACATTATATAGTATGGAAAGCCATCCATGGATTATTTGAGGGTCTTCTTCAGTTTTGGCAGCCAGGGAGGTTTTAGTTAACCTTGGAAACTATCAGTGGTTCTCTCATGCAATAGATTGCCCAAGACACATAACCTTTATCTGTAACCTACTAGATACCTCATAGTAGCTGTGGAGGTGAGTGTAACCTGTTTGGAATTGGACAGCCCATCTATAACCTTTTTTGGTGAAGGACATTCTATGGAATGCTTTTAATGTTCCCTGATATAAAAAAAAAAAAAGCAAGCGTGGGCTCCATTTTGCAGTTTTAGAATATAAGGTTGATGTGTATGATCAACTACCCTGTCACCCTTGTTTTTTAAAAATATTTTCTGTGTCTTGTGGTGTTTTTTATCATTTTATTTTTCTTAGGTTTCATTTTTCAGCCAGCATATTCTACCAATGGGAATCACATTACCATCACCTGTGTGGGTCTCATGTGAGAATATGGATTTTTAGCTTTTAGTGCATCTAGCTGTTGGTCTCCCTCTAGAAGCTTAAAGGCAAATTCTAAAAGTTCATTAAATGATATGTATAAGTAAATGGAGTCATTAAGTTTAGGAGTGTTACCTGTGTTCATCTCCCAATAAATCACTATTGAGAGATTATGATTTCTCCAGCTTCCAAAGGTGCCAATCCATGTAGGCTGCTTACTACAGGTGAGCATGTGGTGGAGTGAACCAAGTACTTTTTGAAATAGTGGTTCTTATTCTCTAGAAAAATTTCACCTGTGAAAAGTTATTTATTTTTATGTGATGCTGAGGATAGAACCCAGGGCCCCACATGTGTGAGGTGAATGCTGTACCACTGAGCCACACACAATCCCAGCCCCCAAAGTTGGGTATTTTTACTGAAGAACTCACCTTACATTCGTGTCTTTAAATCATTCTTCATTTTTGGTAATTTCCCAAATTTATTTTTATTTATTTTTTTTTTATTTTGTGGTGGTGAGCTGTGAATCTGGCACCTCCTGAATGCTAGGCAAGCCCTCTACCATTGGCTACATCCCTACCCCTGACCAAATATATCTTTGCCAGAGAAATCCTGGATATAATAATATCTCTGACAATTGTGAAATGAATTATATTTTATCCTCTCAATTATTTTCACACATAGTATAACTTTTATCCTTAGCAGCAAAACTGAATAAATAGAGATAGAATATAGATTTTTAAGGCAGACAGTTTTCTGACAGAGAGAAAGCAGTGGGACACTGGTAGAAGTTGGCCTGTAAAGCAGCCGCCTTGATCTGTGGTCCAGTGAACTTCCCCCAACACCCTGTGGACCCTGCAAACTGCAAGAGGCCATCTCCTTTTTGGCTCTCTCCTCCTGTGGGTAGTCTCATCTTTTGAATGGAGGGAGGCCAGGGCAGGTACATTCATGCTGAGCAGGCTTGTTTTAGCTGTGGTCTCACCACTGTGTGTTCCCTTTCAGCCTGGAGGAAGGCCCCCCTGTATGCAGGTAAGTGACTCTGATGTGTCCTTGGCCTTCCCTCCTCCAGGCTCCTCCTCTGCCCTTCTGTATCAGTGGCCTCCACTCAGAATGGATGGGTTTTCCTGCTCTCTCTTCTCTAAATTTTTCCCACCCTTCCAGTAAACACTTTTAACTTCTCTTGTTTTTTTTTCTTTCATAATCGTCACACATCAATCTGCCCCGTCTCTAAACTAACCAAAAGCCAAGTACAACAGGAAAGCAAAATTCTCCTAAAAGGAGAGAAAAATGATTGTAACTTGCACTGGAAGATCACAGTGACTTCCCCTTGGGTTTGGACCACAGAACTCTCCTCATATTTCTGTATTTTAATCATGCTTCATTTATTTTATTTTATTTTTTAACTTTTAGGTAGACACAATATCTTAATTTTATTTTTTATGTGGTGCTGATGTTCAAATCCAATGCCTCTCACATGCTAGGTGAACACCCTACTTCTGAGCCACAACCTCAGTCATAAATCATTCTTCATTTTTGGTAATTTCCAAAATGTCTTTTTTTAATTTTGATTTTAATTTTTCATGTTGTGGAGCTGATGAATGAACATATTCTAGGCTCACCTTCTACTGCAGGTGAGTGTGAGTTGTAGATCTTGAAAACATCAAGTTCAACTGGTATTTGTTGTTGGTGTAGTGACACTGGAGAGTTCAGTTGTGAGGACAGCCTGCATGGAGCAGGATTGGAACTGTGGACAGGAATTGCTGGTCTCCATAAAATTTCAGAAGTCATATTTGACAGCTTAGGACTTAAATCTTTCTAATGTGGGACCTTGGTTCTGTATTCCTTTGACTCCAGATTCATACTGTTTAGGTCCAGGTTTGTTTTCTTCTTTCTTCCTGTGCCTCTGGATATTGGTCTCCTCTCAGCCACCTCATGCTCTGACTTGCTGTCCTAGCTGGGTTTCTTCTAAGTGCCTTGATTGTTGAGAAATTAGTTTTTGGTGTTCTGAATTTGGGGTCCAGGATGCTTAGGGGGTCTGGAACCACTTGAAAGTATATGCAATGTTCTGTGTTTGTGTTTGTGTTATAGAAACAAAATGCAATTAATAATGTTCACAAAAATTTCTCTGCTTTTAAGAGAATTTTGCTTTCCCTGTTGGGCTTGGTCTTGGAGATATATATATATATATATATATTTGTTATATATTATATACATTATAATATAATATGTGATATATAAATATATTTTATATTTATTATATATTTTATATATTGATATATGTATTTTTTAATTTATGAAAATCATAAAAGAAGAATCTAGAGATGTTAAAATTGTTTACCTGAGAAAAGGTGTGGAACAAATGAGAGAAGAAAAGATAATGTGAGAAGAGTGAGGAGGTGAGAAAGAAAGTAGAGTGCTCAAGATTCACATAGAAATTTTGGGTGTGCTGAAGCTGTGAGAGATGGAAAATCACATCCTAGGAGGTTTGAGCTGACTGTGAAGCAGATTTGCAAGTTATTTGTGCACATGAAATGTAACCAACTCCTTGATATATCTTTGAGATATTTCAGTGAATATTGTGTGTGTGTTTGTGAGTGTGAGTGTGTGTGTGTGTGTGTGTGTGTGTGAATTCCATTAAGCCATTTCCAAGTGATTATCTCATTGAGTTTTCCTGTAATAATGAGCTCACCTCAACCTTCCAGAGCAGTTAGAATAGGCACATGCTAAGGCAGTTTCCAAAGTAATGAAAGATTATCCAGAGGATTCTTTAACTCTGGGGGACCTGTGTCATCTGAATTTGTATAGTATGCCCTTTTCCTGCTCTGGTTGTTTCTTTTTTACATCCGGGATATAGACTGTGAAACTCAAAGGAGTGTGAGCCATGGTGTCAAGGAGTCTTTGGGATCAGATGTATGAGAAACACTCTTTGAGAATCTTAATGATTTTTCTGGGGACATGTTTATTAAAAAAGAAGGATCACATAGTCTTTTTTTTTTACCATCTCCCTATTTCCTGCTGAATTAATGTCTATATGTTTTCATGTATAACTTGCATACTGTTTTATTTTGTAAGGATAAACACAATTACTGCATAAGAATGAACAGTTTCATATTGACAGGTCCATAGTGTGAGGTGGACAAATGTCTGATCTCATCTTGTTCATGAAATTGTAACAGTGAGTTATAAATTAAAATTTTCTGTAGGAATTATGTGAAGAGCACATTAAGGCACATAACATAATACTTGCTATACTGGAAAGTCTCAAAGAATTTTTTTCACTCCTTGTCTTTTTCTCCCCTGTCTGCTTCCTTGTCCTCCCTTTGCTTCTGCTTTGATAATCTCAGTCAGTTATTATATATAAAATTATATTTGGATTCCAACTAATGTCTTGGTGAAAATGAGCAAGATTTACTTTTCTCCAAAAATCATCTAGGTCTGCTCAGCCATTTAGTATTACTAGTTTCTATCAAGCAACTCAACAAAGATGGAAATACCAATGTATGTGATTGAACCTGGGTTAGTGGAAATGGAGGGCACAAATTTAAACACAAATGTTTAAGAAAGAAAAGATCTTGTTCATTTATTATTTTCATCATTCTAATCTTGTTCCTGTGGCTTTGGGATTTCTGCCCTGTTGGAGGCAAAAGCTTTTCAAATGAAGACATTTTGGAGTGTATGACATATGTAGACTTTTCTTTGGTCAATGACCTTCCTATTCTCATCCCCAAAGGGAGTATAGAAGTTAGAGAAGACTTATGTGGCCTCGGGACAGTGGGGGAAGAGAGACATGTGTTTTTCTTTTAGTTATATCATGTCCTTATCATCAGGATGCTAGTGTGAACTGGTTTATAAGACCCTTGGGTTGGTGTCTCCTGAGAAACTGAAGGTCTCATCTCATTGCTTGGTCTCCCTTCCCTGACCCTGAGGTAAAGCCCAAGGTCTGGGTCACTTATTCCTGGTTGCCATTCGGCTTTTTCCTCTGAACTCCAGACCTTGTCTGGTTAACTGACTCACTGGGCACCTGTCTCTTTACCATCTAGTAGAGCATGTGAGATTTTCTGGGTCCTCAGCTTCTTGTGCTGGAGACAGCGAGTATTATGCTTTCTGCAAGCACATTTCTGTGCCAGTGCTTTGTCTCATGTTGGGTGTGGCACCTATGTGGGCATATTAGTTTTCTATTTGCTGCCAAATTACTACAAAATTAGTGACTTAAACCAACACAAACATATTATCTTCCATATTTTTAGGTCAGAAGTCCAAGAAGGTGTGGACAAGGCTGTGTTCCCTTATGGAGGCTGTTGTCTTGTGCAGTTTCTATATTCCTTTGTTTGGAGGCCTGTTCTTCCATCTTCAAAGCCAGCAGCACATTTGACCCTAATTCTGTGATTCTATCTGCTTCTCTAACCACAGCCAAGAAAGGTCTCTGTTTACAAGGGTTCATGTGATTAATTTGGACTGATACAGAGAATAAACTCCCCTGCTCAAGAAACTGAATCTTAAATCACATTTGTAAAGTTGCTAGTCATATTTTTAACATATTCCACACACTCTGGAGTTTAGGACTATGAGTTCTATCATACCTGGAAGTTTTAAAACTCTTCAGGCAATTCTTGTGGGAAGCAAAATACTAGGTCCAATATTTTTGGGGTTCTCCCATATCTGTAAGGATGCTTTTTTCCTATTGTTCTGTGAAAAGTGGAAGAAAAGTCACTAGTGTTGACCTCTAACAGGACATGTTTGTTTCCTGCTCTGAACTTCTTTCTTTCCCATCCTAAAACTCTCTACATTTCCACCTAACTGGGCAAGAATTCTTTGAGTTCCCTGCACTCATGATTTACAGTCATCCTCCAAGTTCATCTAAGCTAATTGTAATTCTCTATTCATGGCTTAGAGGTAACCTTACAAGTTCAGCACAGTCAGTAAATGGAGGTCTTGGAAATTTTGATAACCTCAATTCTATCTCAAGATAACCCAGTTTTCAGATGATTGTGTGTCTATGTCTTGAGAAAGCATTATTTGTTAGTTAAATCTGAAAGTGAACTTTCAGATTGATTTCAAGCATTTTGATCCTGGAGTGTTAAGCTTTTTGGCTTAGTCTTCATGGGAAGGCTGTAGCAGGATGTGTGAGTGGTGTGTGTGTGTGTGTGTGTGTGTGTGTGTGTATGTGTGTGTGTGTGTGTGTGTGTGTGTAAGAAAAATACAGCAGCTGAATGTTTTCACATAGCTTTCCTTTCAACATTGCTGTGTTTCAGAAGACTGAGTGGTGACTCTGCAAATCCCTGATATGAGATCTGTGTTCTCTTATAGATTGGCGGAAGGAAAAGTTCCAAGCCTGTGAGTGACTGTGTATTGCTAGAGGTTCCTCACGTTGCCCTCATGGCTTCTGGTTTCTCCTTAAGTTCTCTGTGATGATTCAGATGACGGCATCACCAGTGGTGTTGCTGTGGCAGAAGTAATGGTGACAACACTGGTACTGGTTCTCAAGGGTCCTGTCTTGTGACTACCCCCCAAATCAGCCTCTGGCTTCTTCTCCTGGTTGAGGACATGGGCTTGAGTTACAAGACTCATATCTCAGGAGGCTTATCCCCTCCTCAGCTCAAGCATCTATGTGGCTGTGAGGTGGTGGGTGGCTTGTGCTTTGTCTTGGGGAAGGTGAGGACCTTCCATGATTGATTACTCTCTCAACAGGGCCTGTCACTCTGGATCCAGACTCTGCTCACCAGTATCTTTCTGTCTCTCATGAAAAGACATGTCTGACTTGGAAGGAGCAATTTGTGTACTGTGATGAAAAATGCAGTGTTTTGGGACTTAAAGGCATCACTTCAGGAATATGGTACTGGGAAGTGGAGATAGAGAATATATTGTTGAGCAAGTGGACTCTGGGAGTCTGTAGGAAAGATGTGAGCAGAACAGGCTGGTACAAGGAAGCACCAGATAGGGGGTTTTGGGTCATGGGGAACTTTAACAATAGATATTTTGCCTGGACTGGTCCTATGACTTTGTTATTTCCTAGGCAAGATCTCTGCAGGGTGGGTGTTTTCCTGGACTACAGTGAAGGGGAGGTCTCCTTCTACAACATGATTGATGGTTCTCACATTTTCTCTTTTCCCCCAACTTCCTTCTCTGGAGCTCTCTTTCCATACTTCATGTTTATGTATGGAGATGTGTCCATGACCGTCTGCTCTATGGAGAGTGGGTCTGAGGGGCTCCCTATACCCCCTCTCAATTCACCTCTTTTGGAGGAGGTCCTGAGCACCCCAAGGGAGGGGTTCATCTCAGGCTGTGGTGTTGATGGTGTTCCCCCAGAGGCTGAATCTCCATTACTTCCCTGACATTCCAAGGTTTTATCTTCATAGTGTCCCTTGCTGTCTATGATCCTTTACTGTGGCTGTTCCTTTGGCTACAGACTCCTTGTGGCAAAATCCCCTGAGATGATGCTTAGGAGGCTCAGTGGGCTTTTCCTCCTGTTCTTTGTTCAGACTTCAGATGTGTGAGAGTTCTGTTCATGTCTTATATTCAGGTAGCAGAAGATAAAAGTTGACTGTTTTGTAACTGGTTTAGGGAATGTGGAATTTAACTATGAAGATTTATATATATGTATTTCAGACAAGTGTGGCAGCACATACATGTAGTCCCATCTACTGGGGAGGCTAAGGCAAGAAGATCACTTTAGCCCATAGGTTTGAAACCAGGTTGGGCACATAGTACTATCCTATCTCAAAAAAAAAAAAATCAAACAAAGGGGATACCACAATACTGGACTTGAATATTTGTAGAGGAACCTTGAGGTTGAGAATAGTCCCCTCTTCTACTTTTGCAGATTTTGTGCTATCAGATGATAGAAGCTTACCTTCCAGAAATTTCCATGGAAATGAATAGTCTGTTAGTCACCTTTTGTTCTCTGTGAGAAAATCAGCCTAAAGGAGGAGATATTTATTTTCCTCACAGTCTTAGAGGTTTCAGTCCATAGTCACTTGGCTTCATTTTTGCTGAGGCAGAATGTCAGTCATGTCATGACAGGGAGCAGGTGGTGGGGTGAGTGGTTAACCTCATGGCAGACAGAAGGGGAGAGAGAGAGAGAGAGAGAGAGAGAGAGAGAGAGAGAGAGAGAGAGAAGAGAAGAGAAGAGAAGAGAAGAGAAGAGAAGAGAAGAGAAGAGAAGAGAAGAGAAGAGAAGAGAAGAAGAGAAGAGAGAAGAAGAGAGAAGAGAGAACATGAGAGGGCAAGAGCAAAGAGACAAGGAGCCCGTGACAAGACAGTCTTCAAAAACACATCCAAGTTTTCTACTTCCTTCCTGTTCCTAGTCCCCACCTCCTAAAGTTTCTACCACCTCCTAAAGGGCCACCAGCTGGGGACCAAGCTTTTAACACATGGTCTTTGGAGGGTATTTCAGTTCAAACTCCAATGATTAATGGAGTTTTAAGAGTCCAACATCCTATGTAATCTGCTTCCTATTCTGGGATAAATGGAACATACCTATTTTTCTATAACTCAGTAAATTTCTGGCACCATTGAAAATGTGTGATATGTTCATCCAGGTAATTAAGAAAAAAATAGATCCCACCCCTCTTATAAAACTATCAGTACATATCCATTGTACAAATTATTTGGTTATATTGTGACAATTTTATACATGCATATAATGTACTTTGATCATATCCACCATTCCTGCTACCCTCTTGACTTTTCCCTTCATTCCCCTTTTTCTCAATACTGCAACTGAAGAAAGAGAAGAAAGCTAGAGTAAACATAAATGAAAATGAGAATTTTCAGATGCAAGGTGAATTGCAGATCAAGATCATAAGTTCAGTGAATATATTTCCTCTTAGAACTTTCACGTCTGGTGTATGGAAAACCAGAGTAAAGAAGAAGAGACAGGACTATTGAGGTATTAGAACCTGCAGGAATAAAGGTGTGTTCACTCTACCAGTTGTTCTGACTTGGGGATAGAAGACACAGCATGGGAATTGGAAGACAGAAAGTACCTGTAACTACCCAGTTTTTCTAGAAATAAGGACTGTAAAAACTTTGTATATTTTCTCTTTGCTTGTGGTTTATATGTGTGTATTTGTATATATTGACTATTTGCTTACTCTTTCTTCTTATATTCATTATTTTATACACAAATTGTTATCTTTCAGGAAACAGTATAGTCAATGAGACTGAGTGAATCTGAAGAGTAAATACTATAGCAGTGTAGTATGCAGTGACTGAGAGTGCTACTTTCCTTATGTTGGGGAACAGATGAAAACTTCTTCATTTGTCAGGTGGCTTTGTCATGATAGATTTGTTGTCTTATGGAAGTTCAAATGTTTGTAAAATGTTATAACATGTAGGCATAGATAAATAAAATCAAAGGTGTGGATAGAGTCCATTATCATTTCATTGCATTTCTGTCCCAAATCCACTCCATGTTTTTCTTCTTTGTGTTCTTAGAACTGGACCTTGTAAACACTTCTTTGCCATCTGACACAATATGAGATTGTTGGTACAATGCACTGGAGGGGACACTGCAAGGCAAGTTCTTTCTTTCTTTCTTTCTTTCTTTCTTTCTTTCTTTCTTTCTTTCTTTCTTTCTTTCTTTCTTTTTGCCAGGGATTGAAACCAGATGTGCTTAACCCTGGCAGATTTGCACTATCAGATGATAGAAACTTACCATCCCCAACATTTTTAAAAAATATATTTTTTTCTTTAGTTGTGGATGGATGTCATGCCTTTATTTAGTTTATTTTTTAATTTGGTGCTGAGGATCTAAGCCAGTGCTTCACATATGCTCCACCATGAGCTACAATCACAGCAACCCCAATCCTTTTTAATTTTTATTTTGAGACAGTGTTTTGCTGTGTTGCTCAGGGCCTGGCTAAATTGCTGAGGGTGGATTTTAACATGTGATACTCCTGTCTCATACTCCTAAATTCTGTGATTGCAGTCATGGGCCACCATACTAGGCTAGCGACCAAGCTTTTAACACATGAGACTTTGGAGGGTATTTCAGTTCCAAACTCCAATTAATGATGGATTTTTAAGAGTCCAACTTCCAGTGGTGTGCAGAGGGATCAAATATAGAAATGACTATATTGATATCTTTATCTGTATTTTTAGTCTCTGCCCTGGGATCCTGAAAAGTAGATTTTCTCCCTGATCCCTGAAAACAGCTCTTAAACCCCTTGGAATTTCCTGATGGAGATGAAAGGAGAATCTTTTTGTTATCAATAAGAAGCACCTTTAAGCCATCTGAGTTTATGATAATAAGATAACTTAAAAAAACCTGGTCCCCCCAGGATGGGGTCAGGTTGCCAAAGGAACAAATTTTATGAGTAGAAAGATGAAAGAAGGGATGAAATAGGGCTGAAAGTTGAGTTAATTTAATTTCCAGCATTCACTGATTTAATCAATCATAATTACACAGTGAAACCTCCATAACAGCTTTGAAGGAGCTTCTGACTTGATGAACAACAATGCATTCATGTGTGTGTTGGTGTGGTGCCTCTCTAACTCCACCATGGAGACTGATACCTCTGTGCTCAACCCATTTCTGGGCCTCACCCTATGTACATGTTCATCTGGCTATTCACTGTCTTTTACAAGATCTTTTGTAATAAATTGTTTAGTAAACAAAATTGTTTCTTTTGGTTTTTGTGAGTCATTCTAGAAAATCACTCTAATCATCCAATCTGAGGATGGATCTTGGGAATGGAAGATGGATCTTGAGAATGAGATAGAAATTTAGGGGTACTAAGGAAAAAAGTCTCTCAAGGAGAAAATGTGCCTGTTGGGATGTGGAACAATAACTTGTGAACTGCTCTTGACTTGGACTAAGAAGCTAAAGTGACAGAAAGAGACCAAAATATAAAAATGCACAAAACAATTTCATAAATTATTTTATAATTTTCCAATTCCATATAAATTTTCTGGAATAGAGCAAAGCAGGAGCCATATTTCAATACAAAGACACTACTAACCTCATGAAGTTTGGTGTTAACATTTATTGGATCAATTGTCTGACCAATCAGCTGAAAATAACACAGAAGACCAGATTCCCTAACGGAAAACCATCTTGCTGAATATTTTCCAATCTCCAGGGAAGTCCTTTCCCTTTTGATCATATATTCTACCTTTGTACCCTAATAAAATAACCTGAACTTTATACCTGGTGGTGTGTCCCTTCTTGCTCTTGAGATTTCCAACTTTATTCTCTGAGTGTTCCTATATTCACTTTTCACTTTCTAATGATGCTCTTCCTCTCTTTGCTAAAGCCCAACACATCCTTAAGTATTTTGTACAGTATGGGCAAAGGTCTGAAAGATATAAGCAGTGGTTTCCTTTTCCACTGGAGAGACTTCATTTTACCTCCTTTCAGTGACATAAACTTCAGAAATAGGTGGTTAAGTTAGGGAGGCATCTTGTGTATGTCAACTGAAGTCATGGGGGGCATTTTTGCAAGAGTGTGAGGTCCACTTAACTTTTGGGCTTTCTGCTAATTCTTTAATGGAACTGTAGGACACCCAGATATATGCACAGAATTGGAGAATAACTTGGTGTGGAAAGTCCCATACATTTGCTGTTGTAAGTGTTCTGTGGGTTATTATGAAAGAGGACACCTGATTAATTGGAGTATTACAGAACCCTTTCAAACTTCCAGTGGGCCATGATCCATTTTTCCCCAATGAGTTCTGCACCTTTGTCTCATTGGGGTCTCTATTGTACATTGCTTCTTTTCTTGGCTACTCTGCCTCATCCCAAGAAGTATTATCTGCTCCCTATATATGCAATTTCTGCATTCTTCAGAAACTTTTTTTTTTTTAGTAATTATCCACTTTTTACTAGTTAATTCTTCTTCAGGCATGAACCAATCTATGTTAAGTTTTTCTTGGTGAAATGATTTCTGTGGTTTCTGGACTTTGATAGAAGTATCTAAACCACAATAACTTTATACCTTTTCAAGGAGGTCACTGAATTGCTTACAGCATGCAAGAAAGTGTAATTAAGGCATTTATTAACTTACTAAAATGGTTAACTATATTATAAGGTTTTATAAATATCTTGAGGTTTTTGTGGATTTTAAGTATTTTCTACATGTAAATATGTTATTTTTCAGTTTAATGAAGGAGTGTCAGCAACAGTGGAGGAAGGAAAGGGGAAGGAGGAGGATGGAGGCAATAGTGTTGTTCTCCTCATTCCACAATTCATGTGCCCCTATTTCCCTTTCAGTGTACTTCAGAATTATATTGTCTGATTTAGAATGTGATGACATTAATGTTAGATCATGTTGCTCAGGATTTCTTTGTCATATGATTGTCACTACATTTTGCTGGTTTCATTCCACTGCTTC